AGTAAAGACACTTTCCCCACCTATGACTTGACCTTATCTAGTCTGGGTGACTGAATTACTAGTCACTGGTGGGGTGAACTAGCTTTGTCTCCCATACTTTGCCTCTAAAATTAGGCTATTCGCATTTGACTCATTTCCATAATTCAGATCTACAGTGTAGGGCTTGGCTTTCTCTCAAAGCCAAACTCATTCTTGAAGGGCATTTCCCAGCATATAGGAGGCACTGAAATGAAGGGATGACATTTATTGACTATCTGCTTAGCTCCCCTTTCCACACGCTTTTTGAATTCTAGATTTTTGTTTTTTTTTTTTTACTTGGCTTTGTTTCTGTAATATTTCTGGAAAATAGATAAAAAAGAGCACTGGTCCCATGAGAAAGAAATGGCCCTATCACATAACGTTTTATATTTAACGTGAAGTGTCGATCCAATATTCTTAAAATCACGCGTTTAGGGACCAGCCGTTGGCGTAATGGCTATGTTGCTGGACTCTCATGTAGTTGACCACTGTTCGAGTCCCAAACCAGGTGGCTTACACTCATGCCAGGCGCGTGTGCGTACATGCCCCAGATCCTGAGAGAAGAATGGAGGAGAAGGAATGGCCACCCGCCTTGGGGGTGAGATCTCGCTTTCTGTGTCTCTGTCTCTGTCTTTCTGGCGAGTGCATGTGCCCTATAGCAAAACAAAACAAAAATAAAACAAACAAACAAACAAACAAAAATTCTATACAAAAAATCACATGTTTAGTTCCGTTCAGAAAAGGAAACATAATATTCTTTGTAATATTCTACCACTTACTATTCTAAACATGTAGTTTCCTTTTTGGGTAGCAGTTCTGAGCTTTGATGATATGACAGAAACTTGGTTAAGTAAAAGGTTGAGGATGGGGCAGAGTGCCTTGTAGTATGTCCTTTCTTGCTTCGGCCTATTTCCCCTTCCTAGCCTTCCCACCTAGTGTTGCTTTCTAGTTTGTCTACCATGTTTTTACTGAGAGAAACACCAAGTTAGAGATCACAGTAGTTATCTATTTTCTTTTCTCTGAAATAGAATATCAAAGTGAGTCCAAAAGATGTTCAATGTTTGTATCAACTAGACTATCTGTTTAAAAATGTAGACCCTTAGCTCTACTACAGATCTGTAGATTAAGGGTCTTGAGGGGTGAGGATCAGTGGGCAGTGTTTGCAAAAAAATCTCCAGATATTTGCGTTGCAATTCCATTTTGAGATGCAGTGCACCTAACCAATATTGCATAAGCTCCAAAACGGAAAGTTAAATGAAAGACAGTACAAAATGTTGAGACCCCATTTGTAGATTTTTTTACTTTATGGTAAAGCACATCTTTAAAAAGATATATTGAATGAGGGCCAGCTTGTGGCATGGTGATTATATGTATATATAATATATAATATATATATATATAATTGTGGCCATTTATATGTCTTCCTTTGAGAGCCGCCTATTCAGATCAATTGCCTATGTTTTCATTGGTTTATTAGTTTTTCTGCAGGAAAGCTACTTGAGTTCTCTATATATTTTGTCTTTGTTTTTTTAATTTTTTTTATGAGAGATTTTTGTTATAGGGCAAGTGTGCTCACCAGAGAGACAGAGCGAGACAAAGAGACAGAAAGCAATCAATCACCCCCTGGGGGTTGGCCATGCCACAATCCCTTCTCCATTCTTCTCTTGGGATCTTGGGCATGTACACACACATGTCTGGCATGAGTTTTAAGCTGCCAGGTCCGGGACTCAAATGATAGTCGACTACATGGCAGTCCAGTGACGTAACCGTTACACCATCTGCTGGTCCCTATGTTCTGGTTATTAATTCCTTCTCTGAAATACAGTTTGCAAGTAATTTCTTCTATTCTGTAGGTTATCTCTGTTTATTGTTTCCTTTACTGTACAGAAATTTTTTAGTTTAATCTCATTTGTTTGTTTTTGGAGTTGTTTCCTGTGAGTTAGAATTTTAAGAAATCTTTGCCTACTGCCATGTTTTCAAGTGTTTCCCGTGGTTTCCCTGAGTAGTGATAATGTTTCTTTCTCACTGGGGTTTACTGTCTACAGTTGACACTCCAGACCCCTACGTGGAACTTTTCATCTCTACGACCCCTGACAGCCGGAAGAGAACAAGACACTTTAATAATGACATCAACCCTGTATGGAATGAGACCTTTGAATTCATTTTGGATCCCAACCAGGAAAATGTTTTGGAGGTACTTGCATCATTTGGGGATGGTTAGATGATTGTCATGCATGTCGAGAAAGATGCTTGAGTTTGTTCCCTTTCTGCCTTCTTTCTCCTTGGTTGGGTCTCACTGGAGGTGAGAAGGGCAGGGTAGGATATCAGCTCCTACCTGGAGCATATCAAGCAATATGAATGTCCCATGTAAAATGGGAGTAGGTGAAGCTAGGAAGACTTTTTTTTTTTGAGAGAGATTTTTGCTACAGGGCACATGTGCTCACAAGAGAGACAGAGAGACAGAAAGGGAGAAATCACCCCCGGGGGGGGATGGCCGTGTCACAATCCCTTCTCCTCCCTCCATTCTCTCAGGATTTTGAGCACACACGCACACATGCCCGATGTGTGTTTTATGCCATCAGGTCCGGGACTCAAACTGTGGTCTACTATGTGGGAGTCCAATGATGTAACCATTAGGCCATCTGCTGATCCTGGGAAGACTCTTTTATTTTCCCCAAGTGCTTTGGTGGAAGCATATTTTCAGTTATGAAGTGGGGAATCCTTGCAAAGATTCCAATTTGTAAAGACTGACCAACCGTGGGAAGGCTCCAGATTCAGATTTAGAGATCTCCCTGAGTACACTGGGCATGTTTATGTCCGTTATCTGGGGCTGGCTTAGGTTGGAAGTGGATCTAGGTATTAAAGACTCTGTTAGGAATGCTGTCTCTCTGTCTCTCTTGCTCATGGAAGGAATACATAAGTGACTCAAAAACAAATGAAGGAATCAAGGAGAAACATAGAGAGGGAAGACATTTAGGGGACACAGAAATGGAGGGTTGTTTGTTGATGATAATGTGCATGATATCCTCAACTGGACTGATACGAAGTATATTCATGTTGGGTAGTTTATTTTAAAAGCTGTAGTGATGTACAATGATTGAATGTATAAAGTAAATTAGAATAATAATAAAAAAATCCTGGGGACCTCAAATAACTGTTAAATACTATTTGAGAACTTTGATTTTTCAAATGTGGTAGAGACATTAGGCTTAATTTCCAGACCCCCCGGAGTATTTTAGACTCGTCCTCTGCCTTTTTCTGTCCATAGATCACGTTAATGGATGCTAATTACGTCATGGATGAAACTCTTGGGACAGCAACATTTCCTGTATCGTCCATGAAAGTGGGGGAGAAGAAAGAGGTTCCTTTTATTTTCAACCAAGTAAGTAAAAGAGTCAAAATATTTTTCAACCTTAAGTCAGAGAAGATCTATTTATTCTATAAAGTCGGGTTTAATGCTTGGAAAACTAACTTTTTGTATGTATGTATGTATGTATGTATGTATACATGTTTTGTTTTTATAAAGAGAAAGTTTTATTTTAGCCTCTATTCATTGTTCTAACCTTTTATTATTATGGTATCTGTAAACTTAGATTGAGGTATTACCGCACTAAGCAGACTTCCGAAACATTAATCTCTTTGGTTGCTCTAACTAAAATCGCTGGAAGTAAGCAATGGTTTTGGACTCTACTGGCAGGACTAATGAAAAAACATATGCGAGGTGCTCTCTAGAGACAGAGAGACAGAGACAGAAAGAAATAAGGAGAGAGCAAAAAAAAGCACCTCCAAAGCGCACGGTCACATTACAGTCCCTTCTCCTCCATTTCTCCATCGCGTTGGGATATTGGACTCTACTTATGTATGAGCCCAGCATGTTTTTTAAGCTGCTGAGGCTGGAATTTGAACTGCCATCAGCCAAATAGGATCTGGCTTGCTTAACCACTAGGCTATGGGGCTGGTCCCAGAGGTTGGTGAACATATTCATTTCTTCTTGCTCACCCTTATAATGACTTTTCAAATACCTTTACTCTCCCAAATCTATCTATTCCTTAACTCCTACCACTTCCACGTTGCCTTTCCTAACTCTTACCAAGCCAACATCTTTCTCCTTTAAGTGTATGTAATTATCTGTGTTATTCATTGGGACTAAATTATTTCTAGTGCTTTATTTTTCATCTTCTCCCATAGACTAAAATCCTACAAGTCAGAAAACGTGAAATTCTAATTATACATGTCTACAGAGTTAACACATAGTTTATACATATACATATACACATACACATATATATATATATGTATACATAGAGAGAGAGAGAGAGAGAGAGAGGTTTTTGCTATAGGGCATGTGCACTCACCAGAAAGACAAAGAGAGACAGAGAGCGAGAAATCACCCCCCCAGGGGGGATGGCCACACCGCAATCCCTTTCCTCTATTCTCCTCTTGGGATCTTGGGCATGCACACACATGCGCCCGGTGTGAGTTTAAGGCACTGGGTCCAAGACTCGAACTGAGGTCAACTACATGGGAGTCTAGCAACATAGTCATTACGCTAACTGCTGGCCCCCCATAGTTTATATTTATTCAATGGATATAAACTTGTTTAGAAAGTGACCTAAGCTTGAAGAGGTTCTTGACTAGTCCATGCCATCAGGGCCACCTCAAGGACATTCCAGCCCATGTGTTCCTTTCAGCTGGTTCAAGAAGCATATCTTCTGTCCAGTGCCAGGACATGCACTGCCCATATGTCTGCTGACTCCTTCTAAAGCTGTTGCAATGCATTCCTTTTGTATACCTTCATTTAATGTCTGCTATGGACCAGCCATTGTGTTCTGTGCTAAGTTATAAAGAGTAATGTAAAGGAAGTTCTTCCCCTGTTATTTTCATCTCAGGGAAGGAGAGAGAGGATTGGTAGGGGAAGTGGAAGTAGAGAGCTGTGTGGTAAAGGGAAATCACCACACGATGCGATGAACAGCAACGAGGCAAGTGTAGAGTAGAGGGGCAAGACAGGATAAAGACAGAGCTGTGGGACGAGGCCAGGGATGGCTCCATCCCTGTGATTTTGAACTTACTGAACAGCAGACATGGTTAACAGCTTGGTGTTTAAATTCCAGCTTTGTCTCCTAACATCTGTTTTACCCTGGAGAAATCACTTAACTCTTCTGTACCTCAATTTATTCATCTGCAAAATATTTTTTTAAAGAGATTTTTGCCTTAGGACATGTTCATTTCCTGGAGGGAGAGACAGAGACAGTGAGAGGGAAAGTGACAAATCTCCCCCTAGGGGCATGGCCACACCACAATCCCTTTTCCTCCATTATTCTCCAGGGATCCTGGACATGAATGTACACGAGCCCAGTGTGAGTTTTAAGCCACTGGGTCCAGGACTTGAACAATGGTCAGCCATGTGTGAGAGTCCAGTGTGCCATCTTCTGACCCCCTACAAAGTGATCTTATAGGAGATATGTTATGATTAAGTGAGTTAATTCTGTTTACATATATATGTATAGTAGTGTACACTATAAACATATGTTTATGAAATAATTTGATATGATTTGTTATATTAAATATAGATGACTTATTTAAATTGTGTATATATGTATTAAGTATATAATTTTTTTTGGAGAGGTTTTTGCTATAGGGTGCATGCGCTCGCCAGAAAGAGAGAGACAGAGAGACAGAAAGCAAGAAATCACCCCCCAGGGGGAATGGCCATGCCGCAATCCCTTCTCCTCCATTCTCCTCTCGGGATCTCGGGCACTCATGCGCACGCGCCTGGCGCGAGTTTAAGCCACCGGGTCCGCGACGCGAACCGTGGTCGGCTACATGGGAGTCCAGCGACATAGCCATTACGCTAACTGCTGATCCTAGTATATAATTTTTAATTTAAGTCTGTAATGATAGTTTATTGACATATGTAGACACTATACATATAGATGTATACATGCATACATGTGGTGCTTAGAACAGCACTTGGTACATGGTAAGCACTGCACACATGTTCCTTGATATTGTTGTTATGAGACTGAGGAAAGAGTAGGATTTCAGCCGGCAGGGAGGTAGTTATGAACATTCTAGGCGGAAGAAATTGCAGAAGCCTGGAGTCTTGAAAGAAGAAAGCAAGTCGAGGCATGGCCAAGTTGGATGGCTTGGCAGGCACAGGCCAGTGAACAGTGGGGAAGAGAGCGTAGAGGTGGTCAAATGCTGAAACCCTTAGGCCTTACCTATTGTATGCTGCTAGAATGAATTCTGCTGAGGGCTTTGTAAGCCCAGGTTGGCCTTTGGAAGGTAAAAAAAAAAAAATTTGGCACTTAAGTTCATGACAAAAGACTGATGGTAAGAGCAGATATTTCAGAACAAATTCATTTCCTTTCCTCCTGTCATTTCCTATGATTAGGTGTGTAAGCCTCAGGCTCCAAAAAAGACCTTCCACATTTCTGAATTTAAAGTAGCTTATGTCATTATTTCTTTCATGTGCCTAAGAAAGTAGTTGGGCAAACAGCAGGCCAAACAGCTTTATCACTCTGTTCTGTAGAATCCTTTGTAGCTTTTATCAGAGTGACAGTCCTTCTAAATGAACCATGGAGAGAATTGAGTGGAATGCCTGATTAGAGACAGAAAGTGAGAAATCACCCCCCAGGGGGGATGGTCACGCCGCAATCCCTTCTCCTCCATTCTCCTCTCGGGATCTTGGGCACGCACGCACACGCACCCAGCGTGAGTTTTAAGCCACCGGGTCTGGGACACGAACCGTGGTTGACTACGTGGGAGTCCAGCGACATAGCCATTGCGCTAACTGCTGGTTCCCTAGAATCCTTTGTAGCTTTTATCGGAGTGACAATCCTTCTAAATGAACCATGGAGAGAATTGAGTGGAATGCCTGATGGCATAGTGGGGAGTCCCCCTGGTTGTTCTGCAGATCCCGTGAGAGTCATCCACCTCTCCTCCTCTCTGAGTTTCCACCCTTGCAAGGGGATCGGTTTTTCTACAACATTCACAGAGGTTGTAGGCAAGAACAGGTGGCAAGGAGACGTGGAACCCAACCTTGGAGAGTGCTGCCATCTTGAGTAGTAAAAGGAGCACTTGGATGTGGTGAAGAGAATGTTTGAACACTTCAAGCCAAGACATCATTAGCAAAAACTTCATCAAGCTTTTGTCATCCAAAAGTTCTTACTGGGTAAACATAAAGTGATTTCTGTGGTCACAAGACACCTGGAGAGATGAGCAAGTAGGCATCTCCAGAGGGGACTGGCATACATCAAGGGGCCTGCTTTGCCTACTTGTAATATAAAGTGAGAATTAGGAGGCAGGACTCTTAGGGTGTTTGCCACTAATCTCCTTCCAGATGTTTTCATTATCTTTGGAGTATGTTTCTGTAGCTGTGTGTTCATGCCCTTCCCCATGGTGCAAGTTAGCTCTGTGCTGGTTTCCCTCCTCTGTTATGGTTATGTGTGGAATTCACACTGGGAGTTTGGGTTTTAAGTTTTCTCACCTTTTGCTGGTCAGGGGGTGGAGATATGTTGTAGAGTGAGAAATCTTCTAAAACCTCACTGTCTTCAGATGTTTGCTTAAACCTCTCTGCTCCCAGTGTGGCTAGAGGTTAACCTGAGAGGTAGGGTATCAGGTGGTAGCGCAACTTGGATGCTGTGCCTTGTGTGGCAAACAGGCCATGACAGCCCCACCTGCCCAGTGCAGGCTGGGTGGGAGACCCTGCTGATGTGCTAATATGGGAAGAAGTTCCATTTCCCAGGAACTAAGAATCTGCCTAGGTGTCCTCTGCTTCCTTGTTTCTGGATGGGTGAGGGTCAGAATGGCATTACTCCACCTGGGCAGCAGCTCCTACTTTTTATCTCTCTAAATCTTTCATTTATTGGGGCCAGCAGATGGCATCATAGTTAACATTGCTAGGCTCCCACGTAATCCACTATGGTTTGAGTTCCAGACCAGGTGACTTAAAACTCATGCTGGGCATGTGTGCGTCTGTGCCCAAAATCCTGCGAGGAAAATGGAGGGGAAGGGATTGTGGCATGGCCATCCCCACTGGGAGGTGATATCCCGCTTTCTATCTTCTGTCTCTCCAGTGAGTGCATGCACCCTATAGCAAAAATCTCTCTAAAAAAAAATTTTTATTTATATAGATGATATAATTTTATTTTTTTAATTAAACATTTTTTAACATTTTTTAAGCAGTGCAGTTCAGTCCAGTAGTGACTATACCACTGAGGCTGGACCATATCATATAATTAGAAAGTTTTGATCACTTGGGCCAGTTCATGGCCTGGTGGTTCAGGTGGCTCTATCTCATGTGGCCAGCTATGTGATTTGAGTCCCAGATTGGTGGTTTAGAAAACACGCCTGGTTCATGTAAAGTGCATGCTCCCTCTG